TGGGAAATTGAACAAAATATACACAATGGCTTTATAATTTATTTATTTTATATTTTACAATCACTTTGATCCGGGTGAGAGTTATCTTCCTTGAAAAAAATCGGAACTTTTTGCAGAGGGATGACATTTACACAATGACAGTTGTCTCTGTCTACATATAACAAAAATGATGGAAATATATCAAAAATATGGTATCAAAATTATCAATCTATTGTTCTTTAATGGAACCTAATTTACCTCAGTCATGTACACTTTGGACATCATTCCACAGTCCGCTAACTCACGGTATATTTATAATTACATGTCAGGTACATATGTGACCAGAGGCTATCGCATGGTATGCCGTTCTCACGTGCACTCACACATGCATTTCATAGGTATCTTGATATTTTACAAAACATTATTTTCACAGAGTAAGTAGACTACATTTGTAAACACGATTTAATCGACAGAGCGAAACTCCCTCAGCTTATGAACTCGTGTAAGCACGTGATATGCACATATGAGGTTGGTACGTCCGCATTCCATGTGTTTCCTATATGACCTTCTTGAGGTCGTCTGGTCTCATGTCACTGTCTTCCCGTGAGTCTGTTTATGTCAATGAATTGGAAAGCTTTATTCCTGAAGTACGTGTGATTATACATTTCCCGGTAAAATCTCGATATCGGGTGTTGACATATCATCGGCACGCACGTGTACTATTGTTTACCAGGGGCCTGTTCGTTTATGCGGAACAACCGGTTTGAGCGTTTATGAATGTAACAATTTCGGGTATAAATCCTGGCGGACCTGCAAATGTGTATGCAGGCCTTGCAAGGCTTTCTCAAGGCTCGCCTGAAAGCAGCATCAGATTACTAGGTTCGACCTTATTTAATAAACGAACAACAGTGGTCCGATCGGTTTGACCGTTTAAACGAAAACGGCCCAGGTGTTACTATAATTTGCACTACGATATTGAATGCCCGATACGCAATACGGAAATGACATCACGGTGTACATGCACATTTCGATCAAGATCGTTGAGTCTGAGCTGTACTTTTTCCGGAAGTACGTCACGAAAATAGACGCTGATGACGATGTGTGGAGCCACCTTAACTTCCAAATATCATAAAAAACTTTTTAGTAAATATATATGCATTTATGCAATGTGTTTTAAATCTGAGACTGTGAAATTCACTTGCTATACTAGTATATATTGATCATCGTGTGTGAATAATGATAATCAAGTGTTTAAATTTGTTATTGAATTGAACGGCAATTCAGATCATAGACAGATGTTAATTAGAATCAAGAACAAGCCAGGATTTGTTTGATACATTTGTAAATCAGATCTCAACATGTACAACTGGCCTACATGTATGTAATGTGGTGACTGTGAAAGATGTCTACACATTGAATACCCATTGTAGGGAGATCTCCCACATTGGGCTCCGGGGAGTTTGAATTGGCAACCCTTTAAATGTTTTGTTTACCTTCAGGCTTAACATGTTTAGACAAACTGTTACATGTACATATATATATATATATATGTTTTCTAAAGAATGACTTTCCATTCCATGTTACTGATACACTTTCTCATCTGTTAAGTGGGACAGCATCACAAATGAATAGTTGTTCCCATATATAACCTGTTCATGCAGTATTAATATGGGTTTATATAATGACAAAATACATGTTAGCAGGTGGTTCACGTGCATCCAGCTGGCTATATATCAGAAACGTAAAGGCTTAAACTCCGGTATCAAATAGTATTCCACTTATTAAATGCAGCCACAGGGACATGTCGCATGCTGTATAATGGAATATGTATTACTTTATATACTGTGACGCCCACTTATCTTCTTTTACAAAGCGTATGACATGTCCCTGTGAGTGCACATGCTCCATATTGTACATAAATTATACCCACACCTTGTCTTGTCTAATTATAAAATATCTCACAGACCGTTAAGTACAAATGAAAAGACAAGCACAAACAGCGGAGTGCGAGATCAATAGTTGGTTCACCTTGAAGTTCAGCATCCGCAATTTGATGGATTCCTAAATATAAATGAAAATCACTCCAGTCTGGCTGTAAATACAATACATTTCCAGTACACACACAGGCATACACACATAGGAAGATATTAGCAAGGTGGCATAGGACTAGTTGTTGGCGCCTGATAAGGCAGCTCCTGCGAATTCTTCAATATTGTATTAATATATATATGCCAATTGTATTGACTGTATTAAATTGTATATCTATGTACTGTAAAGCACTTTAAAGTGGCTTATGCTAGCTAGATAGGGCGCTATATCAAATGTTGTATATTTATTTATTTTAAGAGTACCGGTAATATTTATTAAAACAATCGACAAGATGACCATGACACCATCAACTATGCTACACAAAGTTATCATATTTAAAACTAAATATAAGGGCTTTCACAATATATCGGAAAACAGGTATATCGCAATACACGGGTACATCGTATTGTACCACAATACAGAGATGAAATATTGCTGTATCGCAATTTTTTTCAAAAGCATATTTTTATTTATCTGCTTGGTGTTTTAACTTGCAGATTAATACAAATTCTAACAGATATGCCAATACGTATAAAGCAGGCTTTTGATATTTCAAATCTTGTAATCGATGGTTGGTTTGACAAAAATCTTAAATCTATGTAATCTATATTATATATGGTTAAGTTTGATAACATTCTGACAACAACTTATTATAAAATTGAGCACATCCTTCCTACAACTTTTTATAAAATTGAGCACATCCTTCCTATGACAATATATCGGGATACGTATCGCAATCTATTCATTCTGTATTGCAATAAATCGTGATACACTCTTGGCGTATTGTGATACCCCTACTAAATATGGTTGTCAGTGGTATGGTGGAGTGTTTCCAAATATGTACATACACGAAGTTGTCTTAGAACCTCTTATACCTGCTCAACTGCTCCAAAGGCAACTACAAAGTACAATACATGCATGTAGGGAAAACCAAGCAGGAATTTAGGTTCTGTATCTCAGAACATTTATGAGACGTAAAGACAATACAAACACAGCCTAGTAGCACTCCGAGACATCGAATACCTGTGCCATTGAAATTCTACACATAGTCCCTACATCCTCTGAGTCTACAACTAACAGGAAATGACGGAGTACTATACAAGTTACACCAACTTCATTGTACATACGTATACACCCTAACACAATTTGGGATTAATGTCCAAGGGTAAATGTTTTATACTCAGTCATTGCTGTGCATATCAAAATATTTCCTGATGATGTTATCAAACAGTTCCTGATGAATATATCTACTTTCAAACTGTCTCATTACAAAGTTATCAAAGTGTTCCTGATTAAAATAATGTTCCTGATAAAATATGTATTTAAACTGGTGTCATTAAAATTTGAAAAATAATTCAAACTCTTCCCAATATGATACATAATGTAATGTCTATATTGTACATTCAACAATCACTTGGGATGTCAAATGAGTTGAATTTGGTTAAATCTTCAGGTAGCATATTGTCTAATTGAACATATACAGACTTGTCCAAGTATTTTTAACTGATTTACACCAAGCATAGGAAAATTGTATTTTGCCTCAAAAGCATACAAGGGTGCATGAAGGGCTATAAATTGTTGAAAAAATGATATGGCCGTGACTCGTACATTAATACAATGTTGTCATTATTATAATGGTTGTATATTGGGTACATGTAAATTTTGACTGACTGGTTTTACTTTTGTATTTTGTACTATCAATATATCTATTAAACTCTTTATTATATTTCCCAACTTTTTAACAGGCAGGTTCTATCATGCATAATATATATCCAGATACTCAACACCGAGATTCGTCTCCATGTTGATTGATAAGAGTTTTGTACTATACTGTCATATCAATGTTAATGACAAAACATGAAAACACATGGTATCCGCATTTTCATGACGAGAAACCTGAATAGGGATTAATCTAGATGTACACCTAGTATGGCCTTTGTCACAAGAACTGGGAGATTGATAGAGACCGGCTGTATCAGAATACATCACTGTCAGCGTGTCATACCGGTCCCCTAGCTATGTTATTATGATGTTACAAACTCTTTTCAAATGAAAGCAAAGATTAATTTGAAATGTCAAAACATTTTTTTTTTGCAGCAATGACCTAAAAAACCATGAGCAGATTCACATCACTAGCTAGTACTGTTCAGGCCTGAAGAGAAAATGTTTATATATACAATGTACTGAATAGCCGCATGTTTTTGCAAACTAATGTGATGAATTTTCAAATTTATTTTTAAATTTTAGTATGTACTGTGAAATGTAATACATCGTATGTATGTGGTATTTAGGTTAGAGCCAACACAAGTATAATTTTACGGTGAATAGACGCAGACTTTTAAGCTATATCTATGTGATAATTATAACGAGTGAAGATTTTACAAGCACATTATCAATGATTTGATGAATATATAGTTTAGTGGGATATTTTTGGCTCTATTTTAAACCCAAATCATTACAAATTAAACAATACTTCAATTTTATTTATAACTCCTTTTCCACTGTCTTTTCGGTATGATTTTTATTTTGTAACAATTACTGTATACAGGGACAGTATATTACGTCCCTGCTGTATACCAGGAAAATTAAACTGAAATTTGACTTTCCCTTTTTTGACCTATTGTCATCAGGGCAAATTTATCATGACAGCGAACATTAGTACAGAAGCATATACCATGTATAATAATCACATGTGAAGGGTGAAATAAAAACTGGGTAAATCAGGAATTAGCTATAGTGAAGCAAGAAGGGTGAATTTTTACTGATCAGAAATGTTCTGGTACAATGTGAAAAAGGCTGGGAAGGTAATTAAATTACTGGCATTTGCCTTATTTCACAAATCTGCAGTGTTTTTTCATTTTGTATAATCGGTACATGTTTAAGACGATAGGTCATGATCAGCAGCTGATTGTTTACAATTTTTCATGTTTCAGGACCCTGTGGCGGTAAAACAACTGGACAATCACGCTTGAGCTCCTTCTTTGAGAGTATAGGATGGCAGGTCTGTGTCCTTTTACTGTCCAATCCAAACACTGCACAATCCAGAGAGTTTCAGTATACATTTCATTGATGTGAACCAAAATAGTTGTCTGATGGTTCAACTCTACCGAGTTGTATAGTGTAGGAGCATCCAAAACTGTCAGTAAATCAAGGTGTAGTCGTTATGTTCCAGCAGTGAAATAAATATGCAAGACCACACACTTGTGTTTTTCTAACGAATCAGAAAGCTCAAGTTTATTGTGCGGACGAATATATTACCGATTCCGCGCACGAGTGAATGCTTTCTGATTCGTGAGAAAAACACAAGTGTGTGGTCTTGTTTTTATCACATACCTTCCGTATTTGGTAGAGATCGATACAAAGATTCTATAAACTTTGATATTTTTTGCAAATACAGAGAACATTTCAGTTCGCCATGACGAGGATTCCCATAAAAAGTAGTTCCGGCTTGTAGGTAAATACAACATTCCGTATTGCACATGTGCAATACAGAACGTTGTATTTCATGGTCTAAAAATTGCTTGTATTACTATAACAAGATTCAACAGGTATATGTGATAAATACTAAGATTTTATAGCAGTTTAATGAATTTAAATTACTTATTATATTTTCAAACATCAACAAATTACATACGTGTAGATATACTATCGTTCTTGTTGAAAATCGCAACTGTGAACATCATTGCTTGCAATGCTCATTAATACACACTCATACATTAACAGGTAATGTCAATAAGATGAATAAGAAATAAAAATGTAGTTACTGTACTCCCACTTATCGTTATAATTAAACACATGTAATTTTAAAACCTGTCTGTTCGAAACCTCAATATTATACAGGTCAAGGCTTCAGATTCACAAAACTGTTAACAAAGTTTGCTCTCAATTATTCAAAATTGAATTGTCTGCATGCAGGGCTGTATTTGTCCAAATGTTAATTGAAATAGTAAAATATTTCAATGCATTAATGTAAAAAAATCACCACTTGAAATGAATCAGTTGACAAGATTACAACAAATCTAGAACATTTGAATTTGAATGCTTTGCCATATTTGTACATATATAATGAGGCATCACCAAAATGATTGTCTGGTGGTTTCTGTCAATTTAAATTTTAACAAGTATTTAATGAGGCTGCTGTGATCTTATTAACAATACAGTGTGCAAAAATTTGCCATTATTCCTCCTAGGTTGTTGCCGATAATTAACATGTCTACTTCTGTAGATTTCTTTCTCTGATAAAAATGTGCTAACAAATTCTAAATATAAGATTTTCATTGCAGGTTTACAGATCTCCAGAGACAGCTTTTGTACTCATGAGGTAAGATGTTCATTAAAATTGTAAGAAAGTGGGAAAACTTAAAAAAAAAAAATCATCCAAATTTTATAGTTGAGTAACCCTAATTAAATAGTGTAATTATGCAGTCGGTCCAACCACACCATAAAGTTCGACAAATAATATTGGTTAAATGTAAACACAATTTGTAGATTAAAATTTGACCACTTTAATTATGATTAAGCACTTAAATGTTTGCACTTCGTTCAATGTGGACTTGCAACAAGATAACATTTCTTTTGATAATTTGCATATGGAACATGTAGGTCCGATGGACTTTTTACCCTATTTTTGGCTATAGGTCCACTGGTCATTTCTTTTGGTCCCGGACCTTGGACTTAGGAGTTTATAGCCCCTGATAATATCTCGGAGTCTCTCGCTCTTATAAAATGGCATCGCATTGTGTTTCAGTGGGGGTGTAAAGTTCACAAACCTCTCAAGAGACCAGGGTATGTATCCAGTCTGTCTTAGACTATCATAAACAATAACATACATATGTAGAGGTTCATAACTTTATTACCTGAACATTTAAATGACAATACTAGTTGTGTGTGTCATACACTTTGTATTATCATTATTGTATGCAATTAAGTCTTCAAGATTATGAAAATTGCTCCAAAGATGCCATTTAAGAGTGTTATTTTTTCCCTATGGTTTATATATACACACGTAATTTCCCCCATGAAGAAGTTGGCAGGTATGTTAGTGCCTAATACAAGGAATATCTCTGGCTGAATATCTACTGATTCAAATTTAATTAGCCACAATATTGTGAAACTTGTAACAAATTATTTTGTTTTTATTTTTTTAGCCTACAGGTTCCAGGAGAACCTACTAAAGACAATGGTCCAGATTGAAAACACGTTCTTTGATTTAGCCAAACAATCGAAACAGAATTGTCTTGTTATTTGTGATAGAGGTCTTATGGATGCTTCAGCTTGTGAGTATAAACATTTTATATTTGATATGGCCCTGTATAGAACATTTTATATTTGATATGGCCTGTATAGAACATTTTCTTACAAATTGATGCAAGAGGATATTTTGCTAGAAGTCATGAACATTGATTTTCACTTGTTTTCATCATGATAAAAGGCATTGGATGTCATCCCACAATTGACACCATGATCTCATTTACTATCTTTAAAATGTACTTCAAATATATTTATAAATATGTTTGTGTCTTAGTACATTTATACATTGCTGTGGTCATGTACATGTATATTTTGCTTTGGCCCTGTACATGTATATTTTGATGTGGCCCTTTATATGTATATTTTGCTGTGGCCCTGTACATGTATATTTTGATGTGGCCCTGTATATGTAGATTTTGCTGTGGTCCTGTACATGTATATTTTGCTGTGGCCCTGTACATGTATATTTTGATGTGACCCTGTATATGTATATTTTGATGTGGCCCTGTACATGTATATATTTTGCTGTTGTCCTGTACATGTATATTTTGCTGTGGCCCTGAACATGTATATGTTGCTGTGGCCCTGTACATGTATATTTTGCTGTGGCCCTGTACATGTATATTTTGTTCACGGTCCTGTACATGTTTCTTTTACTTCAGCCTTGTTCTCTGTGCTGTGGCTCTGTACATGTATATTTTACTACGACTTTGTGTTTTATTCATACCTTGGTAGATGTGGCTAGAGAAGACTGGACGAGGATGAAGAATGATAATAATTGGGTTGAGGTCGACATTCGCGACAATCGTTACAATCAAATCATACACATGGTTTCTGCAGCCAATGGAGCTGAACCATTTTATACAGTTGCAGGGCATGGAACACGGCATGAAGACTTAGACGGTGCTCGGGTGCTTGACGAAATTACAGCAGGGGTATGTGATATTTTTTACAAATTATGTTGGAAGCATAGATGTTTGACTAAATTCTTAGTAAGCTCTTCACTCCCTGTTTTGTTTCCAATGTGTATGGCTTTTGTTTGTTTTAACCACAGAAGTTTTAATTTATTGAAATAAACAAATTTTCACTACACTTGTACACAATGTACTACTGATGAGTTGTGTTTTGCAAAGGACCATACAATTTTTGCATAAATTATCATGAAGATTGATTGCAACTTCCTGAATGTTAATTCAGACAAATAAAAAAACAAATGTTATATATGGGCTTATTACCAGGCACACTATATGCACAGAGAGTAAGGAAAAGTGAAGGGGGGGGGGGGGATGTTATTTCCAGGCATGGGATTATCATAGGTAAATACAGTATGTTTTGTCCGGTATAGTTTGGAGATAGTCTACGGTAGTACAATTTATTGCCGAGTGAGATCAGCTGGTCTCAATCAGGGGCTAAGATTCTGAAACATAACTCCCACCAATGCTTTAGCTGAGGTTGGGATGTTACAGAATCTTAGCCCGTGACTGAGATAACCCAAACCGACTCAGTTACAGGTAATTGTGTGTTTTTTTTGCATCTTTCAGTTTGAAAAACTATTCAATTTCACTATAGTCTACAAGAATCTCATCCAAAACCTAAAATAAAAAGCCTCTTCACTACTTAAGCTGCATTTGAATGCTTTTGTGCAAACAATGTAGTCCGGCCTTACAAAGCAGACATATTTCTCAATGTAGATCATAAATAACATCAGGAATCTAACAACATCAAAACAATACATCTAATGACAAAACAGTATATTTATAATATTGTGGTTTGTAAATTTTGAGTTATTAGCACACAGATGAATACATGGCTTAGTGAAAGTTCCGCGAAATGTAGCAGGAAAGTGCCATACAGATTGGACTAGATAGAAAAATCTAGCATGGGGTTATCATGTCGAATATCCCATGTCCGAGATGCTAGAATTGTCATTGACATTGTCTTTTGTTTTTGCAGTCATGGGTGGGACATCCCTACTTCGATGTGATAGATAACAGTACAAATTTTGAAGAGAAAATTAACCGAATGATATCTGTAAGTATATCACAACATGAATGTTTTAGAACATCTATGTACATGTAGTTTTTATCTCACCTGGTCTGCAGGATGGTTACACTGACATTAACATTCTAAAAACCCAAATCTGTCATTAACATTTTTTCAAGATGTTTCTTGGTTATTTTCGACACCACACTTTGAAGACTATAAATTGCTGTCATAATTGCCAGATTTTGTATGCGAGGACCTTTTTTGTATATACCGGTACATGTACAGAGTAATTGCCTTTTTTCATTCATGATACCAAAGTTTAAGGACTATAGTTTGCCTCTTTACGCATATAAGTGATGCTCTTCTAGAATATATCTTTTGGTAGTGCTATTTAACTCATTCATCCCTGAAGACACATTTTAACTCTTCCAATTCAAAGGCTGGAATAGTTCATTATTAAATGTCAGTGGTGAATGAGTTATAAATGGTCAGATGTGATCAATATATTTATCATTATGATTTACATGATCGATATAACTACTATTATGGTTTGCAGGCAGTATGTAACAGACTAGGAATAGATGTGCAAGACCGCCTCAGCTCCAACAGTAAGAAGAGGAAGTTCCTGGTTAAAAAAGTGGGCGATCTAAAGGTAATATTACAATCTAGTTATGTTAGAACAGTAGATCCCTCATAATGTCATTTGTTATCATCAAAAGGAAAAGTGATGACAGTGGAAATATGAAATGAAAAGTGATATAAAGAGGAAAAATAAAATGAAAAGTGATATAAAGTGGAAATATGAAATGAAAAGTGATATAAATAGGAAATATGAAATGAATTGTGATATTGAATTATGTCTGAATTACATCTTTATACATGAATTATGCAAGGCTAGACCAGGCTACACTAACATAGAATAGTATAAGACTCGTTCATGCCCAGGGGGTGTAGGATAGGGAAATTCCACCCTCAGGATTTTCAAATTTGGCAAAACCCTCGGCTTTACCTTGGGCATGAAAGAGTATTTTTCTATCATTCCAATCACCAGAATAAGCTCAGAAACCATGAAAATGCGTTTGGACTGACCACCATTTTGAAAATATAATTTTTCCCCTGAGCTTTTTAGACAAAAACAAATTAGCCAGCCAGATTTAGCATATCCCATATTTGCAAACAACATTTGCGCAGAAAAATTAATCACATCTTTCTAACATGTACGGTAAATCTAATAAAAGGTTTTAATTTCATCATGTCAACTTTTCCGCATTGCGGTATCGGACAGTTCCAAATTTGTGACGTGACATCATTGTTGGGCCATTGTGATGTCACATGGCGTGAAATGGGATGTAAGATAGAAATTTCCTACACCCCTTTCTTACCATGGAAAGCTCTATCTTTCACACAGGGAAATGTTCAAATGAGAGAAAACACTTTCCTAAATAATTTGCTGAAATCATTGTTGATAGCAGTATGTATTGTGTGGAATGGGTAGCAGAAATTCTCTTGGCCTGTTGAGTATAATAAAGTTGTCTATGCTGTGTTATAAAGAGTATTTATTGTGTAAAATTTGTACCAAAAAACCCCAAAGACTGTTATTAATATGAAGTTGTCTCTGTTGTAGAATTTCCCACAGTTCCAGGACTTTAATGTACAACACGACTACCTTGTTACCCCGAGCCGTAAGATGCAGGCCAGGATCAGGAAGAGGGGACAGCACAGTAAGTCAGGCAGTTTAAATTTATGTCTAAATTTATAAAACATCTCTTTAATACACACACACCCATCAGTGGTAACAGTTAATGTACTAAGCCATATACTTGCACCCATCAGTGGTAACAGTTAATGTACTAAGCCATATACCTGCCAACTTTTTAGATTTCCATTGGGGAGATTCTGCATTCTCAAAATCAAAACATATTTAAAATATGTGTATGCACCCCCTAGAGACAAAATAACCCTATAAAATGACATATTTTGAGTTGTTCTCTCAGATGAAATCATTAGATGTTAGAATATAGGAACAGTTAAGCAAATTCAGTGGTTGAAAACACTAAATTTAAGGGTCCAAAATTGGGAGTCTCCCTCCTAAATAGGGAGGGTTGGCAAGTATGCTAAGCATTGGAGAAGAATGTAGAAATATCTTGAAACATTTTAATATGACCCTTTACTGTTTGATTTGATTGGTTTTGGAAAATCATACATCCTAACTCGATATTTTGTTTCCAATTAGTGTCCAACCCCTACTATCATTTACTTATTAATTGGATATCATTCACATAAATTAGTTACTAGGGGTTACCAGTTTCATTTCAAGGGAAAATATAGGTTAATGTTGGGAGAAAATTTACGCTGAAGAAAATATTTCTGCAGGTGTGTTGATATGATGAAATAAAATGCAAATTATTTTTTTGTTAGACACCTGGACATATACTCATACCATTAGACGACCAGAAATCAGCAACGAAATGGTGGAACTGAGGATGGTGATATCTAATAAGGATTACAAGGTAAGTACAGCTGCTGTTGTAAGGAATAAGATGGATGAGGGCATTACAACTTGTGACAGATCCCCAATCTTCATTGTCGTTAACAACAGATTATCTCCATTACGTTGTTTCAGTCTATGGAAGTGTTAAGTTTCTCAGAAAAGTTTTGCAATATATATTTTTTAGCCGACGATCAACAGATGGTGGGCTGTCTAAATCGTTTTTCCTCTGTGTTGTGCCATTTATCAGTCTTCTACCCTTGAACAATTCCTATTATCTCTGTTTTATCAAGAAGTATGAGGTGGTTCATTTCATAGTTTATATGAAGGTTCACTTTTTCCTTCTGATCAAGCAGTTTGAAACTCCAAATAAAATAGATGCAGAACTCCGGAACAAGAAGAACTTTGAGACAGGATAATTTACATTTTTGGAAATAGTAATCAACAAAAGTTACTACAAGATAGTACTGTTGACATGACTCGATCCAAAAGATACGGGATAAAAGAGAAAGATATACAAATTATTTAGAACCAGTGCAGCATCTTCTATCACTCATGGGAATCATGTTTTAATGCCAGCGCTTTAGATTAGAAATAAAAATAGGAAAAGAGTCAGTTTTATGAGTACATAGAGGTTTGGTTGATGAAAGATAGAGTGACTTTATTGTCAAATGTGTTGATGTGTTGTCACAATTCCTTTCTCAGAACCTGTTTGCCCAGAGAGATGAGAGACACTCGTCCATCTACAAGAAGCGTCGCTGTTTCCTGTGGAACAACCAGTACTTCCATATGGACATGTTTGAAGACACTTGTCCACCAGAGTGAGTCGGCTATTTTATTATTCCGTAATTTTTTTCCATTTTAAGGAGAACAGACATTCTAAATAAGGGTCACCTCTTTTAAAATGTTGCCTTTAATGTATATTGAACCTGTCATTATACATTACCTATCATGATATACTTCTTAAGGTTTTTGTAGGAAGGGTGGTTTCTTGAGACAGCTTTTGCCCTATCACCTCGTACTTTATGCCTCCACTATTACATAAATCAGTACAGGGGTGTAAAAATTCACGTTCTCAACGCCCGGGGCAACTAGATTTTGAGCTTGGGCTAGTCAAATTTTGAGGCTCACTAGCCAGGGGCTAGAGACTTTTTATGGTAACTTACATTGCTTCTGTTCAATTTTATCATCATGAGGGTTACCAATTAACATTTTAAACCTGTAAATTTCTGCTAATTTTCTCTACAATATCTTATTAAGTGCTTAGAACACATGGAGTATGGAGTCTTTCACGCCATATTGATGATACAAGACATTCTGTTGCTTTGCACATGCATAGTAGCCACTCATCACAACATAAATAGCATTAAAGTCTATACTAAACACCAAAATGGCCCTCTTTGTTGCAAATCATTCTGTTTTGTTTGGCATAAGTAAGTAGAGTACAGAAATAAAGTTCATCTCTCCAAAAGTTGGAAAGTCCGCCATGTTTGTTTTTGATGCTTTTAATACTGGAAATAGTGCTTTTTACCAAGGGGTATGACATAGGTATTATTCCACGTTGATCTCTGACCATAAATACAAATGTTTTATTCTATAACGTTTTGAAATGTTTTTTTGACAGGTGTAAAGGCCTTGTGCTCCTGGAGACATACACTACTAAAACTGGTAGAGACCTCCAATTACCAGACTTCCTAGAGATTGAGAAAGAAGTCACCAACAATCCAAAGTTCTCAATGTTTAATCTGTCCTTAAAGGACCCCGCAAAATTTGAAAGGGAACACCTTAATTCTGTGACCAGCGAAGACGGCCTGTGACAGGGGAGATAATTACGTATACCATTGTAACATTCCCCCCGATTTTAATACCAATACTCGATGTTGTCGCTATTCATGGAGTAGATTTTCTCCTTGAAACCTCAACTCGTTCACCCCTGAAGACTCATTTGAACTCTTCCAATTCAAAGGATGGAATAGTTCATTATGAAATTTCAGGGGTGAATGAGTTAATAAGGGCCCTGCAGGCTATATTTTTTTTTTTTACTGCAGACTCATTCACCCCTGAAGACTCATTTGAACTCTTCCAATTCAAAGGATGGAATAGTTCATTATCAAATTTCAGGGGTTGAATGAGTCAATAAGGGCCTTGCAGGCTATAATTTTTTTCCGCAGACTTTGGCAAATTATTTTACCAGCATGAATGAAATATGGTAGGATGTACTTTAAGTCGAAAGAACCTTTAAGACATAAATAATCATAAAAGGAAATCATTACAATTTCAAAGATGATTACAGATTGATATTTAATTAAACTGAAGAAATGGATCAAAGTGTTCAAAATGGTGGTGCTGAGATTTTTTTAAGATTTATTGCATTTACAAAAGTTCATCTGAAGTATCAAATAACTTAACAGAAAATGTGTCTTTGCTATTTCATTGCCACTATTTTTGTAAAGGAAATTTATTTTTTGAATTTATTAATTTATTGTCACGTAGAGCATATTAATAGCCATCTTGTGTGTTTTAGCTAGCCTGGTCAGAAAGGCCAAGTGACTTTATGCTCTAGCACATTGTCTGTCTGTCTACTTTGTATTTAAAAACTTGCCTTTCCAGCATAGGTGAAGTGATTTTGACAAAATTTGGTATAGATCATCCTCTTGCCAAGAGAATAAATGTTGTATAAATGATGGGTGCTGCCAAAATAGGTGAGGGGAGTAAATCTTTCAAACCATGCATCTTGGTACAGGTGAAAGATTTTTCGTCATATTTACTTATTTAGCACAAAGCATAATGCTCTCATGTTAAAAATGGGTACACTGTCCTGTGATGGGATGAGAGATTTATTTGAGTAATTCTCCATTTACCAGATCAATTTAACCCAATAATGTTGTAGATTATACAAATGATCCTGTCATTACCTTAACCATATAATGCTATTGTAATTCTTTAGGTCAAATAGAGAAACAGGTGAGCGATACAGGGCCGGTTGTCCCCTTGTCTAGAAAAAACTCTGCAAAAGCCATACTTCATAAACATGTGTGTTCATTCTGATTACTTGGGCATTAGCTTTGAATTCAATGAAACATGTTTACAATAAACATGATTAATAAATTATGATGAACTGTTACTTACATTGAAGTATAAAGGGGAGTTACATGCAAACAGAATTTTTATGGGGGTGGATGGAGGGAGTTGTTTGGTTCGATTTTTCAAAAACTGATGCAAAATAATCCTTTGGTAATTCTTGCTGGAGAAATCCATTCCATGTTTTAAAATACAAATCTCTATCCTAAATTACACGTAGCAACAAATATTGCAGACTTGGTCTCAATGTCCTTTGAACCTCCAGATAGTAGTTCTATATTCTATCAATATCAACAAGATACAGTTATAAAAATTTAGTGATTAATAGAATCTTCCCCTACCTTGAGGGTGTGATAGAGAAATCTCCAACCACAGGGTATTTTCTTTTGGTTGTCTAACCCTCGGCTCTCTACCTGAAGGTAGGGGATGATTGTTTTTCTCCCATCCTATTATTTCAGTCACAACTCCACCGACAGTAGTGTAAATAAAAACACATGTGGGGTATGGATATCATCATTCACTTTTGATGACGTCACAATTGAACACGTGCTAATCGGCACGAGGTTGTCTCCCCCTAGGGAGTGACAAGCTGATCTTTCCCGGCTAAAACGGGAGACACTCCTGTGAAGGGTGGGAGAAATGGATCTCTTTGGCTTCCATATAGATATGTTTGATATTCTATCAATATCAACAAGATACAGTTATAAACATTTAGTGAGATGGATCTCTTTTGCTTCCTTATAAATAAGTTTGATATTCTACCAATATCAACAAGATACAGTTATAAACATTTAGTGATATGGATCTCTTTGGCTTCCTTATAGATATGTTTGATATTCTATCAATATCAACAAGATACAGTTATAAACATTTAGTGATATAGATCTCTTTAGCTTCCTTATAGATATATGTTTGACTCTATCGGCGTAATTCACCAGCTGATGTTATTTCCTGTACTCGCTGTTATGGGTTTTAATGGACTATTATTATATACATGTACTTGTGTACTATGTGTGTATGTTTTAATGGACTATTTATTATATACATGTACTTGTGTACTATGTGTGTATGTTTTAATGGACTATTTATTATATGCATGTACTTGTGTACTATGTGTGTATGTCATACTGTGTGGTCTTTTTGTATGGTAATGTGTTTTATATCAACTAAATAATGTTTAAGACAACCAGAAATAAACATGGTGATATCATTTAAGATAAGTATCTCGTATTAGAGGGAAAATGTTATTCATAGATGTATGTATGTAAATATGCCAAAGATGTAATGATTTGTCCCGGTCTGGCCATGCATTTTTCTGCTCCTATTACAAAATTGGATCCTGTGACCAACCCTTGTTTCAAGTATTAGGTGAATGCTTGGCAAGAGGATACCCAATCTGGTTTGTAGATATATAGTGTTGTTTTCAGGGGCAAAGACTTGCAACAAACCAGGTAGCTCAATTTGTAGAGCGTCCGCATAGACGTTGGGGTCCCAGGGATTGCATCTTGGTTTGGCTGTGCATTTTCCCGCACCTTTTACATGATGATCAGATTAACTGCATCTAATAGACAACTCTGAAAATTGAATGCACCTACAATTTTGGAAGGGTGAAAGGATGTTTAAGATGTATAGTATTACCCATGACTGTCCCATCCTGTTCCATCTGCTCCGGATTTACTGTCATTATGACTTCATTCCTGAACAGGTTTTGATAAAACTTTATACAGAGGTCAAAAATGAAAAAAAAATGTTGAATGAGTTTGTATTTAAGGGTTCCAAGGTCAAGGCTAAGGTCACTGTTGATGATTATGAAATATCAACAACAAAAAATGACACTATGTGTGTGGGGCATTCATGTCTTATAGAATATTTTCTAGTTATGGACTAAAATTGAGATTATCTTAACGGTTTGAAGTTGAAAATTTACTGATCTTGATACTGATAATATTGAAAGTTTGATAGAAAATTAAAATTATGATTTACATCCTTGTATTACAGTAATATTTACTACAATTTATGTATCCAACAATCTCTTTTGATGGTTATCTTTTTTTATCGTGTATAGAAAGAGTTTTTGCTTTTGTGAAATATTGTTTCAAGCTTCCAGTGTGGTTTTCTTGCACAAAGAATGTACATGGACTTTGAGACTAATTTGTATTGCACTTATAACTGAATTAACTAGCATTATGTTTATATCTAAATTGAAACGCTAATTTTGATATTTTACCATTTTGTCTTTGTGTGAAAACAAGATTACAGTAAATATATGTTAATAGATCTTTAAACATCGATTTATGTTGATGAATCTCTTGGAAATATTTGCTGCATAATATAAAAAGAGAATTTTTGTTTCATGATTATTAAAAAAATCAAACTGTACCTGTTAATGTGTATGATCTTACACCTGTTGTAACTATAAGGGTAGGCTTTATAGGCATTCACCATTGAACAACATGCACATCATTTCAGATCTGTTTATTTTGTATGGTTTTAATGCATTATTAGTTATTGCGCTAATTTCCAAGTTTACCTCTTTCAGGAATATTACTTCCATATACAGTTACTGTCGAATTTGAGTTATATGTATTAATGAAAATAAAAATACATTTTGCCAAATTACCGATAAGTACAAATATTAAATTCAAATTAAGGGGCTGCGGTGGCCAAGTGGTTAAGGCATCTGACATTCTGCTACCACTAGCCTTCCACCACTAGGTAGCTGGTTCGAGGCCTACATGGGGTAGTCGCCAGGTACTGGCCGTAGGTGGGTTGTTTTTCTGCAGGAACTTTCTGCTTTCCTCCACCACCAAAACCTGGCACGTCCTTAAATGACCATAGCTGTTAATAGGAAATAAAACACAAACAAACCTTCGAATAATGTGATATGTTAAGTTTGCTTTAGTGTTTTGTATACTTTGTAGAAAATAAACGAGTCATGACATAGGTGGCTAGGCATACCAAAGACATTGTTGCATGAATCATATAAATGTGTAGCAATAAAGTATTTGACCCAGTGACCTTTTTTAGGTCACCTGAGCTCTAGCTCAAGTGACCTATTGCTATCCATCTTCGTCCGTCGTTGTCCGACATCCATTCACATTTTACATTTTCAACTTAAGCTGAAATACTGTCTAAGGGATTTCATTGATACTTCATGGGAATGTTACTGACATTTCCTTGATAAAGTGTTGTTATTTTTCGGGTGGATCAGAAATCCAATATGGCCGCCATTTTGAAAAACTATTTCACAACTTGAAGTCAAATTCTTCAGGGCCAATTTAACTGAAACTTGGTAGGAATGATCGACTCATGGTCCTGACATAGTAAACTTAGTGTTATACTTAACCTTTTTTTACTCAAATTGGTAGGGATGATTGACATCATTATCTCCACTTTATATTTCAACAACAAAAATTAATACGGTAGGACTCGTGTGACCGTTTAGGTCCATGGGCCTCTTGTTTAACAACTAGCACCATATTTTGTATTTTTGTGGTCAGTATTGCTCCCTATTCATGTTAACTTTTCAATCTTTAATTTATAAGCTCCTGTAACATACCTGTGTAGTACCTCTACTACCTATTTCTTATATTTGATAGTGTTTCCATTGATACATCTGGCTGGCTGTTGTTAGAATAATGTGACCGGATGGTATGTCATGCTACAATGTAGGTAAGGACATTAAGTGAGATGACCTGTTGAAGTAGCCCTTGGTCAGTGTTCCAGTGTTTTATGAGCTGTTGACACAATCTTTATATGAACTTATCGAAATCCTAAACAAACCTATGTGACTGGTACTAAAGTAAATAGAAGCTCCAGTGACCTAATGTTGTTTTTGTATCCTCTTCTAGTCACATCAACTCTTGATTACTTATGAAGCTGATGACAGACCATTATTTTATACCGAATGACTCTTGATACATTTTATACATAAAGGTCTATAAGCAGCCTGTTGGTATGTGGAAGTTGTTTAGACTGTAAAATTACAGCAGCCTGTTGGTATGTGGAAGTTGTTTAGACTGTAAAATTACAGCAGCCTGTTGGTATGTGGAAGTGGTTTAGACTGTTAAGTTACAGCAGCCTCTTGGTATGTGGAAGTGGTTTAGAATGTTAAATTACAGCAGCCTCTTGGTATGTGGAAGTTGTTTAGACTGTTAAGAATTTGATTTACAGGTACACTTTTTGTTAACTCCTGGACTGGCTTACTGTATTGACTGAGTAGGAAGTTTTGCAAATGGAGAAAAAGTCATGCCACGTGTTGAACAATGTGTAATAATCATAAGTTACAATTGTTTGTAGAGTTCTGCCTGCTTATAGTATTAATTGAAGATTTATTGATTTATCATGTACTCTGGCGGCATTGGAGGGTTGTAACGTCTTCAGATCCTACCGGAGACTGTAACTTTTCTCAACAGTACTCCCATCACCAAAGGCCTCCTATGATCTTGAAAAGCTGTTATGTTCTCATCACTCCATTGCTTCCTTAGATTGAAAGTCATATTTCTCAGTGCGTTTGAGGATACATGTATTCAATTTGTCAACAAGATAATTCAGAAAATTCACTTTTTTATATAACAGCTTTTTTCCCACTATCATACATTGTTTTGTATATCACTCAAAAACTGAAAAGAGAAAAATAAACTTACAAGAACTAAAAACTTGACAAAACACTGTCCCTTGTAAGGAAGGTCACTTTGCAGAAATTAATTGTTAGGAAAATAGAAAGTAGTCAATCACTTTTTTTGTGCCTTGATATTGAAAAGTTACTGAAAATGTGAAAAAAGTTCAAAAGGGAAAGATCAGTGTTAATTGCTTATTTTGAAATAATTAAAAATAATTGTCCAAATGAACATTTTTTTATTAAACAATTATCTCCCTTGAAAGTATTAAATTTCTTAAGATGAAAATCTGTTATTACATTTTTTTTTGTGTTTGAAAAATATTTTTGTTTTTGGATTGAAATTGACGTAAGATCTAAAATAACACTCAGCAAGAATCATAATGATGTAAATGTTTTGTTATCATATCATTGTTTTGCACAGTTGTTTTCTGTTATTATTATTATGTTCTGTAAAGAGTGTTTTTTTTTACTTCGTTTTTTTATGTGTTTAATATTTAGTGTGCACAATAGTTTGTGGAATGTAACTTTTGTGTTTGATAATTTAACACTGCCTGGTTATAAAGGTCCTTGTCTTCTAGTATCTTAAGTAATCATGTAGTAAAATTGAAAACACAAAGCACATTTTTTTTTTTACAATTTCAAGTATTGTATTTTTATGATGATTTTTATGTGTTTTTTCTATTAAACAAGTAGACCCAGAGATCACGAAACAAATTTAAGTCTAAACTTGTCTCAAGTTTTCACTAAGGTGACTTAATGTGTGATTGGCTAAGCAAAATCTGAAGTCTTAAGATTGTTTTATGATTCCAGGGCCTGAAGCTTTCACCTTTTGTTTTTACAGTACACATGTATTTGTATAAGGGTAGGATCACAAATGTCCCTGTCTGATGACCACACAGCTACCCAGACAACTGGTTACGTAACACATTTCACCTGTTTCACTTTTCTGTAAGGCTTAAACATTGGGATGTAGATACTTTACAATGCATTCTTTCTCAGGTTTTGTTTAAAAAGTTGGTTAAGCTGACCTATTTCCATCTAGTGACTCGTCAGCTTTAACAAGTTCTTGCCTCTGAAAATTTGTATGGAACCGGTTATGACTTGGTAAATCTGTTGTACATATCTTTAATCAACATCCATTTCTCATTTCCGGTGATTGGTCTTTAATGTACGTATTACATGAAGTTCTCTATATGTATAACATGCTTGACATCCAAGCAGCCATTACTGTTGCCTACTATTCCTTCACCATACCTACAAATGATGTCACAAATCATGTGCACAATTCTCCCTTTTACAGTGTCTCGTTTGATTGAGAATACATTCTTAGATGCATTTGATCAGTAAGGGAGATAACTCCAACATTTGTTTTAGATAAAATAAGTAAAGGTAGATAACTCCAACAAAAATATTAGGTAAAATAAGTAAGGGGAGACAACTCCAACACAAATTTAAGATGTAATATATAACTGAAAATGGATTATGAGGCAACATGACCTTTTGAAGTACTATAAATGGTACAGAGATTATAACTTACAGTGTTAAGAGTGAGAAGACTGAATGGTTCACGTGCAGCTACTTTATACTGTGCTAGGTATAAAGTGTTACTGATAAAAAATGTCAGTGTGATTGCTAAAATATGGATCTGAATGTATGAACAGAAGTTGATGTGTATTTTTATCTGTAGAAACATTATTCTCTGTAGACCTGTGGTGATCACAACTATATTTTATTCTTTTTGAAGCAGATTTAATGATTCAGCAGTCTGTTTCCGTTTCTAGTTATGTTTAAACCAAAGGCCTGACTGTTTTCTTTGTGTTGTGTTATAAACTGGTATTGTGTTATTGTACTGTTGCTGTCTACATTTATACCAAAATCAGGCATTGAGAGCTAATAAATTATAACAAATGAAATATGAATGTGGTCTTTGATATATTATTAGCCCACCATCATCAGATGGTACACCACTCAAATTGCTTCTTTCCTTTGTGGTCTGTTGTCCTTCGATTATCCATTGTTCGTTCCTGAACAATTCTCTCTATAACTTCAGCACGTGTCTATTGAACTTTGCTTTATATGTGCCGAACTGGAGCTATTACCTCATAACCTGGCAAAAAAAGAAAGCTATTCCTTGAATAGCAGCTACTGTTATTACAGACTTTTGGATGTGCTGACTGTCATTTGGACAGAACAACAGAAAACATTGCCTTCCTCACATGGGCGAATTTTCTGCCAAATTTGAGGTGGTGCGAAGGGTATGCATTACGGTGTAAAATAAAGATCAGGAGAAGAAAAAAGCAAAGATAGGGTAGGAAAAATGGATATAAACAGTCGCAATTTGGTACGTTATGTGCGTTATACACAACTCATGTACGGCAATGGCAAATAGAAAAGGAATTGACTGTCGTGGTTGTACATGTTAAGTATAGCTCTAGGAATTATTGAAACACAAAAGACAAGGGACTTCAACAAGGTGGCTATCAATTCGCAGTGAGAAAGTACAAAAAAAAAAATCAAATTCTCTAAATACATGTAGGTTCTTAATATTCCCTAATTCTGCACGTTTCATTTTGAGCTTCAAGTTTCTTGATTAGTAGTTAAATATGGCTGTTGGAAATCAGAAATATGTCTTGTTATCAGTTTTAACACATTATTACTCTAGTTAGTAGGTATTATAACAACCTCACATTGAAAGGACAAATGTTAAACACGGCAGTATGAACTTTCCCGTTAAGCTATCAATGCTTTGGACAGTAAGGCTCGGATGACATTTAATGTCGTAGATATAACATAGCAAGATAATCAAACAATACATTTATATCAATTATTTCTTTGTTATAAAACTATAAATATCATTGGAAAAGTTCATTTTAGTTTTGTTTTATTTTAGGAAATTATTTACAATGCTGTAAAACCTTCATTAGGAATCGATGAGACGGAAATAGATAGGTACGTGTTTTATTTGTAGCGATTTATTGGAAATAATAAATATTTTATTTCCGTTCGTTTGGTGTGAACAAATAGCAAGATATGAATATGATACCAGAACCATTTTATTTTCACACAATAACGTATATCTCTAGTAATAAAAGGGTAAACAATTAGTCATCTACTGAATGGCAGAGTCGTTGATATAAATAACTATCGGTTAATTCTTTATATACTAAACTGACAGGAATGTTGAATCACACCATATTACTGTATAAACATTCATAAGCTTGCAAATAAATAGTTCTTAATGATACATCTATGTTGATCCGTTTGCATATGTATGCCACAATTGTTTAATGTTTCTTGTAAGTCTTGAGTTCTCTCTTTGTACAAACTGATGATTTTTTTAATTCACTCAAAACAATTCAAAGCAGATAATACACTGTCTTATTGACATCGCTACACGAACTGAACCCACATAATTACTGGATATGGTTTTTTATTAAAATTTTGCATAACGGTAACGACTAAACCTGTGCAGAGCCTGTTAATACAATCTATCATTTTCCACGGTGTAAATGTCTTCCTTCCAACACCCGTACTGATTAGAAGAGAAAGTTAGGCGCCTTGACGGCAATATTCCGCTGAAAGTGAACTTCACACAATGCGATACATTATTCTGAAGCCGCTCTCTTCTGTAGCGAAATCACTAACGAAGCGGATGAGCAGACTTCCGCCAGCGTTGTATGTGATGTTTCGACCCTTCCACGACTCGCCACAGTATCTGAAAACAGGAGAAGTTACATATCATTTACATTGTTCTTAGTTAGCTTAACTTTACAGTTAATAATTTTCACTTCGCTGTTTTCCAACCAACGGCTTAACCGTTAGGATCTAGCATAGAAAAACAAGGACAGCTGTGGCCACCATTAAAAAGGTTTTATATCGGCATGGCTATCGCTTTAATATATAAACTTGCCTTTTGTGTGACCTACGTTATGTAAAGTCAGACTTCACGACAGGCTAGTGGGACAAATGTTTATTTGCGGTTAATGTTTTTATTTCGGATAAGAAGTTCGGGGGTAGACCAAATAACCCATCGTGTCGACCTTTCATTCGAATCTAATATAAGCGGTTTACATTCCTTATGTAGGTATGTATGCCCCTCTTCATTAAAGATTTAGGGATATAACTTGTTATTTTACTTAAGAAAATTTACATCGTTTTTAATAATTTTCTAGAATAAAAAATTAGATCGTGCAAGAAACATATTCGATAGTGCGGAAACGGTGACAAAGACATTATACTCCTTGTTTAAGTTTATGATTTAGCTTTAATTGACTTTCATTCCACGAAGTGTATACTACGTAACGTTATTTAATGCATTTTCTTGTTGAACTTACTTTTGTCCAACCTGCTGTACACCATAAAGTTTGATCTCCAGGAAGTCATTGTTGCACACATCGTCAAAGTCATCTTCGATATGGAATTCCTGGATTTGAAGGTCGATACTGGACTGCTCAGGGGCCTTTAATCAGGTAAAATCTGGTTAATGAGATAGAAGAAGGTCGATACTGGACTGCTCAGGGGCCTTAGATCAGGTAAAATACGGTTAATGAGATAGAAGAAGGTCGATACTGGACTGCTCAGGGGCCTTTAATTAGGTAAAATATGGTTAATGAGATAGAAGAAGGTCGATACTGGAATGCTCAGGGGCCTTAAATCAGGTAAAATACGGGTAATGAGATAGAAGAAGGTCGATACTGGACTGCTCAGGGGCCTTTAATCAAGTAAAATATGGTTAATGAGATAGAATTTAAATGACATGTTTCTGAAGAATGACGACTACTCTTGATTTCTTTGTCATTGTCGTTTTATTATGCTATTACCCTTTTCTTGGATAGACTGAATTCATCAGCTTGTTTTCACTAGTGTTTTATAAGTATTTTTCGTTAAGCGTAGGTCTGTTTTTTCTTTCTTTCAGACATTCATTGCATTGTAAGGCTAAACCTACATTGTAAGGCTAAACCTTACAATGATGATTAGAGTTGGGAATTTGCATTGCATCGTTGAGTTCGCAGTTGATTTTTTCCACAAAAAAACCCGCGAAAATAATACTGCCTAGATAATAACCCAGTTTCTACCACAATAGGTGGGTGTTATTCAACTCCAAGGCATCAATTAATCATTACAACTGTTGTATAACATATTGTTTATACCACACGTAGTATAAACTTTAAACGCGTTTTGATTGGCTGACACGGTAAACTTTGACCGGGACTCCTTTGAATGGACAATTTGGCGGGAAAGCCGCTTCATGCGGTGGCAGAAATAATGATACACAGAAGGTAGTTAGTTATTGTTTTTGTGATAATAAATTTCTTATGTTGGTTTCTATAAATTTATTGCTTTGAAGACAATATATTTGTTACGTACTTGTTATGATTTGTAATAAATCATAATATTTCCACATATTCCTGAAATTGTAATCTTTGCATATTAATTAGCGGCATTTTACTACAGGTCATGTCCTTACGCCCCATCTGATATCGTAAACAAAACACAATTGCAGTACAGAACATGTCAATGTTTCCTCGGAATATGTTTTTTTTATTGTGGTAGAAACAGGTCACACAAACTTGTGGTTGTTGTATATGGTATTTTTTTCAACAATTTATTCAGATCTATACAAATACAGTAAGTCTATTTAAATTTCAGTGAAATAAATGTTTATATAGATAAGTCTTGGACCGTACATTACTCCAATTTTCATATTATTTATACTGAATTGTTTCAAATAAGTAAAGAGTAAAATAAAAAATATAAATACATTTGCTAGAATGTCGCAAAACCATGACAAAATCGAACAATCAAAGCTAACAACATGAACCGAGGGGACACAAAAAAACAACAACATAAAACAACAACAAAAAACCTAATGAATAAAGAAAAACATTACTAACCATCCACATAGACGGTATCCTTAATTACGTAATGAAAACGTATCGATTAATACGTACCTCTATAAGCCAGGAGCACTCCGTATCGGGATTGTAGTTCCCGGGGTAGTTAGATGACTGTATGACTCCATGTGTTGAAGTTAGTTTGCCACCACATCCTGTAATGAAGGAACATTTATATGTACTGCGATTTACCATTTATTTTAACATAAACTAAGTATTGCATATTTATTTACTTCAAATAACATATATACAACGCATAACCAGATCTTGAGCAATATTGACGAGATTATCTGATTTAGATTCTTTTATAACGAACACAAAGTTATTTTTGTGTTATCAGTTCCATGGAAAAATTATTCTAAAGCTCAACTTTGGCTGCTAATAGAATCAAATAAATGTTTAAGCGATTTTCGTTTTGTAAACCAGTCATTGATAAAAAGAAAAAAATATAATTATTAAAGAAAGATGAAAGTAACACTCCGGTGATAATAGATTTAGTATGCCAAAATGAATGACATTGCATCATACGGCTGTTTTGTCTTTCTAGAACTCCTACGTGATGTTAGGGGCCAAAGAGTTTGAAACCCAAATTGTCTAAAACTACCGTTAAAACAGAGGAGAATATGCGTACAGCCCTTTAATACTGCCAAGATTATAAGACTCTTTCATGCTCAGGGATGTAGGATAGGTAAATTCCACCGAGAGGTTTTCAAATTTGGTAAAACCCGAGGCTATGCCGAGGGTTTTTGAGTATTTTTCTCTCATTCCAACCACCAGAATAAGCTCAGAAACCATAAAAATATGTTTGGACTGGCCACCATTTTGAAAATATCAATTCCCCCCTGACCTTTTTTAGACGAAAACGAATCAGCCAGTCGGATTAAGCATATCCCATATTGGCATACAGAGTTTGCGCAGGAAAATTAACAACATCTTTCTAACGTGTTCGGTAAATATATCATAAAGTTTTTTTATTTTCATCGCGTCGTCTTTTCTGCATTGTCACTGTCGAGTCATTGTGACGTCTCGTCACGTGACATGAGGTGTAAGATAGAAATTTACTACACCCCTTTCTAACCTCTATCTTATACACAGGCAGGGAAATGAGAGAAATACCATTATATAGAAAAAAAATTGAAGAAAATCAAATCATCACCGTAGGTTTTCTACATTGCTTATTTAATTATCCGTACACTGTGACACAGCAAGTACTTATTGTAATGGGGACCATTACAGAAGTCCCCTAAACGAGCCATTTACTACGAAATGATTGTCGAAACCGGAAATGGAAGCTACGGTTGTATTCGTGGTGTAATAATGTACCTATATACCAATTTTCATGATAAAATTTATTTGTTGCCTCCCCTTGGCGGCCATTTTGTTTTAAGAATCAGAAATCAAGTACCTTTCGGTAGTTTTCGAGAAGAATGGCGGAAACCTTCCTGGTGGAAGAAAGTGGAAGAAATAATAATAATGATAATAATAACAACAAACGGACAAAAACAACAAGTCCCCCCCAACTTTGTTCGGGGGACTTAATTAGTTTTGATCATTTTATGCATCCATTTAAGAAATTATAAATATACACGTTGTGATACCGATATTGCTCAACATTAAAAAAAATGCTGATCCATGGGTTACCTTGTTGGATGTGTGGGGTGTCACAGACTGGTCCTGTTAATCCTTCAGGACACACACAAGTACAGGATGGGCCTACATATCCACCATGCTGACAGGACAGGGGAACGGAGCAGGCACCTGTAATGTGCAAGTAATGTGTCAATCATCATTTTGGAACGACCCTTTTATTATCTTGTGACTGAAACGTTGTGATGATTTCAGATAATTACATTTGCAATTGTACGTAAAACAAAAAACAGTACATCAACAACAAAAACAACAACAAAACAAACAAACAAAACCTAATAAAAAAAACCCACTATTATTTAGTAGAATGACGTCTGACATCACGCTCCAGTGATTGCTGTAACCGTTATGAAATAATAATATTTATTTCCACTCATGTCTTTCACTCTTTTATAGTGCGTTTTTATGATGTTTTACGTTTTCCTATTTAACTTTCTACATTTCAATAAAGTTGAAAATAACATACTGTTGCATCTATACGCCAAGTTGGCAAGCTTTGCATCAAGGAAGCTGACTTCATTTCGTTGACCCATCCACTTCTGTACCAAGGGGTCATCTGTGGTGATTGTCTGTAGCAGGCGTTGGTCTTTTGAGAAAGCCTGCGGGTTAAGACATTTCATTTCATTTATATATTCATATCGTTGCCATTTGTTTAAGCGTTAAGACACCACTTATTTTAGTTACCATTTATCATTTTTCGTATTCAATGGTAATGTAGTATTTGCACCTTTGTTGCATGATTCATATACGTTCGTTAATAGGTTTTTTTTACAGTTGTTTTAAGTGAATTAAAATAATAACTTATCTTTGCTTTTATCAGAATAAAAAAATTGATTGCAAAATAGTTTCTTAGCTAACCTGGTAAAAGAGGGTATTCATTATCACTTGTCATTTTTGCATTGAATTATTTTAGTATATATTTACATCATATTTGATTAAGCAAATATACATAAATAATTATTTAAGTATACATCATACTTGTTTAAGTATATATACACCATAATAAATGAAGTATACATACATCATAACTAATGTAGTATATATATATATATATATGTCTTACTTTTGTAAGTATATATTTGCATCATAATTATCTAAGTATGTTAACATTATAATTATCTAAGTAAATATAGATGCTTTTATTGTTTTGTTTTTGTATTGTTTTACGGCCCATCGACAATTAAGAGTCATTTAGGGCCAAACAACGATGTAAAAAAAATGGACATTCATAAAAAAGGAATACATAAAAACCAGAAACAAAAGGTTAAAATGTGTAAAGATGTCAAAATATATCATTAGCAACCGAATTGTTTGGGTTAGAAAATATACCATATCTTATTATAGAGATTAACTGAAAGTAAATAATCATTATTGATTGCACAGAAACAATATCAAATAAACGTTTCACAGAGGGTACATCATAAAATCTGTCACGTATGTTTGAAATCAGCGCATTCAATCATAAAGTGTTTGACTGTAAATGGTTGATCTTCCTTATGTTAACGTGATGACTAAAGCAACTTACTGTAGATTTATAGTGCATGATAGATCCGATGTCGTACGGCAGTCTGTAGGTAGTGACTTTGGAGTTAGAATATTTCTCAAACTGTCTGCTCTGGTTGGTTGCTACATTGTTGTAGTTGATATGGACGTAAAGGTCGCGGTCTGGGCGGGATTGTTCATGTACAAACCCTATGGTATGGCCAAACTCGTGAGCGATCCGTCCCGCCTAATGAATAAGAAAAACATAAGTTAAGAGAAGTTTATATGTGGTTTTTTACTACTCTATTACTTTTATGACAGATATAATTATGTTTATATAATATAATTTTGTAATTGTCATTTACTTAGTGAATGAGAATTTAAATAGGGAAGTTATGATAATATTTATACATTTTTTATGAAATTAGAGACGTATTTGTTTCAATGATTCTCGCTTATCAACGCAAAAATCTCGCGAGATATATATGATTTACAAATATGTCGACCTTATAAATCTACCAAAACGCTCTTATTGTAACAAGTCTTATTCATAGTTTGAATACATAAATATTTAGATTTGTCTGTGTATTGATGATATGGTTTCTTGCTTTTTCTAGTATTTTCGATTATGTCTTTGTATATTGATTATGTGGTATACTGTGAAAGTGGAAATTTTTGCGGTGTGGAAATGTTAACGTTTTTCGTGTTGAGAATATTAGCGCGAAAACATTCTCACGCGAATATTTATTCATACATTATATAGATTATATATAATACTTACATATAGATGTCAGTACCATTGTCAACGCTAAAATTCCACATCGCGTTCAATTTATAAGGTCTAACGCGAACATTTCCACACGCAAAAAATCCACCTTTACAGTATTTGTTTATATAGTATTTTCGATTGCGTCCTTGTGGATTTATGATGTGGAATATTTGTATCTATACTATTTAACATTTCGTCCTTGTGTATTGAATGATAAGATGTTACTTGTTTCCGTATATTGTTTAGATAGTGTTCTTCTGTTTTAATGAAGTGGCATTATTTTTCCAAATATTTGTAGAGTATGTCCTTGTCAATTGATGACGTGAAATAACAGCTTCTACTTTTGTTTAACTTTTGTTGAGGTATTTGCTTGTTTAGTTATTTTTTTCTTTACGATAAATCTTAAAAATTAGAATAAATGTTTGAGTACTTACGGAACATATGCTAGAAATATTAATGGATTGCTGTCCACGAATTCTCCCCACGTTAGATATGCAGCTGGAATACACAAGATTGTTATGGAAATTGTCGTGCATTTATACACAAATATAAAACGCGAGCGTCGAACATACTAACTGTAAGTAAAGAGGGGAAAGTAACAGAATTGCTCTAGTAAATTAACTTTATAATTAAAAGCTGTCCCGGTTTTGATATGAAACATTGTCAGGGATGCCAGCCTGATGTTGGAGAGATTTATTTAAATCCTGTTGTAATTTTTTTAGACTTTAAGATAGGATTTTGTTCTTTTGTCTTGACAATACGACATTTTTTCTTGAATTGTGTTAAGAGTAGTCATAGTTATTGCAAGTGTGATATTCACGGACAAATTAAAATACTTAATTATACTATTGATACGACAAAGGATGTACGTGTGACCAAAATCTGAGAACTGTAATATTTCAGTTAAGTCAAATATAAGAATAGGCGATATCATGTATTCTGCTAGTGAAGTATTCGGTACTAACGGAACGTTTTTTATGTATTGCTGTATACACTTTTTGATTTTGATCAGCAGATATTTTCGCATCAACTATTAATCATTAGATAAATACTTATCGGCGATTATCTATGTCTTTTCAAAGCCATTTTCCATTCCTTTTAATTTTGTGTTATAGAAAATTTTAACACAGTTATCCATGTTGCAGATATTTCGTTGTTAGTATCTTACCCGTGTCCAGAGTGCGGCCAAGGACGGACGAGAACGTAGTCCATGTGACCAAGCTGTTGACTTAGAGCCATTGACCTTGGTATAAAGCGGATACAAGTCCGAGACTCCCACATCTGTATCGCGACCTTGATCCTATTCCACATAGCCTTGCCTGGAGCTGAAAACGTTGACGATTCATTTAACAATCTTAATAAAAAAGAAAGATTAAGATTAAATGAAATGAGATACATTTATCATTAAACTTGTCTTTCTTTTGTTGGATTAGCTTCTTTTTTTTTGTATTTTTGAAGCATCATTTTCATAATCTATCAGCTGTCGTGAATGAAAAAACATCACTGATTAAAAACTTACAGTACGATGTTCTACGTGTACAGGGCAAACATATTTAAAGAATTAAGCAAATGGAAAATGTTTCTTATTTTCTCTTTGTACTTTTGTTCCCCTTTAACTTCATTCGTTTTAATTTAGATAACTGGTACGTTTATATTAAATCACACAACAGAGGTTGATACTGAATAAAAAAAAGGAAAATACAAAGATAAGATAATGCGTGCTAATAAGCGTCATATTTCTTTCAATTATTTCCTTGTTTTTTCGCGTCTGACTTTCATTTTTTTTTCTATATTTTAATATATACAGTCGATTTAGTTTAAAAGGTAATTAAGTGTACTATATGAAACTAGTAGGTACATAAAATGATCAATGATTGCTATACTGACCATAGCTGGGATCGATTTCGTAAGGAACTATAGCCTGCGGCCAATACGAATTTGTATCCGCCAAAATCTTCCTTTTCCTTCCATATCTTCCCGTTTTCCTTGCCGCAACATCCTCCCGAATAGCTTTCTTCTGGATAGGGGTCAGAATCATGTCACCTTCAAACGTACTGGTCAGCGCCTGTTCAGGCGTTGCTGGAGTGTCATGGTCAGTTTGTGTAAGAGCCTGAATTAGCCCCGGTCGACTGGAATCCTGCAATTGAAAGTGTTTTTTATTTTTATTAGAATGGTGTGTGGAAGAACATGGCACTGGGTCTAACAGTGAAATGCAAAAGGGTTTATAACATATCTAGACGACGAGAATTAAAGTAGCTCTAAGATTTGATATAAAGTGCATGCGCACAATAGTTATATCGACTATAATTAGTATATAAAGAAATAAATACAAGAAAATAAGTTACGAAAGAATGCCATATTAAAAACAAAATTGTTATTTGAATTAAATTATTGAATTACTAGGGCAAATCAAATAAGTAAACAAACATTTAAAAAATCTGGACTGATGTATTTTTGCGCGGAAAAAGACTTTTTTATTTCTTATCAGATATAGATCACGTAGATTACTGATCATATTATACGTGTAGGGATATTTTCACGATGAGAAATAATTAAAATGTCATAACAATAATTATAAGCATTCATGTTTTTGAAGCAATATTATACATCTGCACCTCAGTTTAATACTATACATTTCGTTCAATTTGTGATTAGAAATGTTACAGTGATGATACTATGTAATCAAAGTTGTCCGAATTGTGGTTTTACTAATTAATGAATGTTTATTGTATTGAGCCTTATGTAGGTTTAAGGTTATGTATATATATTGGAAGACAGGAAGTTTTTAGATAATTAGACATCAGATTAGTTAACTAATAAAATCATCTAATGCACATTGAAATAAAAATCTTGTTGATATATAGATAGAAATGTTCACTTGCAAGCTTTAAAAGAGTAAGCTTTAGGGATTACCGAAAATCGTAGCAGAGCATCACAACAACGAAAAAAACAATTATGATAAAATTCTCGGTTTGAATATAAAGCACAAAATAAAATTATGAAATATGTAAGATCGTTTATGAATGATTTCTTAAATTGAAATCAACATTTCCAGCTAATGTTATTTTCTAAATTGCACTTACCTGTATTGGTAAAGAGTTGCATATCAAACCAAACATCAAAATTACTGTAAATACATGTAAAGACATCATTGCACCAAACCGCTCCATATTATGCAAGAAAAAGAACGGGTTAAACGTTATAAGCTGTCCACCTTAATTCTTATATCTAGCCAATCCTAGGAGAGCTGACCATTTCATTAAACCTGATGAATGTAAGCTAAAGTTTGCTGTGTCTGACGACAGAGAGTAAAGGTACGTCTTTTGTTAGGTTTATCCTGGTATTTATACAAATCAGACCGTAAATGTTATCACCTGTTTCGTACCTTTCCCCATCCGTAAATCGCACCTGTCAATTAGTCCGGGCCAACGAATCACAAGATTAGTCAACTTGATTACATATTAAATAAAAATTAAAACTGATTTTTTTTTTCATAAAAATTAACATACACACGGTGTTTAAGCAGAACCCTATCAAATAAATACATATGTATTTTGGATATTTGTTTTTTTGGAAAAGTACGCAAAAAAAAAGGCTTGAACAAAAAAATTGGCATTAGGATAGACTAACAATGCATTGGGGATTATACAATGAGGACATGTTGGGTTTGACATTTAATTGTGGGGCAACAGATAGCATTGAGGAATAATGTGTGGCTCTCTGTTGGTATGACGTCGGATAGAGGGAAACAAACATCATGTAAATCTCAAGGGCAGTGAATGCTATGGTAGCGACGCCTGGTGTCGAGGTATGCGACGTAGCGCGTGGAATAACATATTGTGATTTGCTCAAGGAAGGTGGTGCAACCAAAGAATTTTATCTCAATTTGCATTGATTCCCACCTATGTCAACATATGCAATAACATATTTTAATAAAAATAAACAATTAATTTTACATTTTGATATTTAAAATTACGCACATTAAGCTGTTGCAAATCTTCTTTTGACGTAGTTACATTTGCGAAATCGCTGTCACCTGACACTGTGTCACGTCCTTGGGTAGCAGCATGCTCGTTATACAAGTACACAAAGAAATTGTAAATACATCTATTGAGGGAAAATTTAAAGTAAACCATCAAAACTGTAATATATTCTGGTATCAATTATATGAAAACACCTGGTATTTGTACTATACACAGATAGTGTAGTAATTTTCGTCGAGTGCAACTTGAGTAAAAGTGTGTTTTATATCAATAACAATTCCTTTAATATTTTGATATATGATTTAAACTTTAAATAGAGCCGACCGTACCCGTACACATCCACAATGAAAACATTCAAACCAAAATCTTTGATATTATTTTATTTGTCATTATGCCAAGAGAAAAGCTTAAAGCTCATTTTCTTGGGGTAAAACCAACTTGCGGAGTACATGTAGGAAAACACAAGGGTATGCATACAATTACTTTTTTTCAATACCCTATCGCGCAAAACACAATACGTTGCTGCAAACAAAACACATCGCATTACACAAAGACTTGATTTGATATCGTGTTTAGAATTTTCTGGAGAAAGTAAACGTTACAACCCTTTTAACTTATGTGAGTGTTCAAAGACTCTCGTAAGATAACAAACACTTCTGTATCAATTATTTCGGGGATAAAATCTTAAACGCTAAATAGCATCAGAGGAAATGCAGAATGAATTGCAAGTTTTATTCTGCTTTGTAAGCAAACGATTTATGTGAATTAATCCTGCATCTGTTTCAACCAGTCAAAAGAAAATGTCCTATTTGTCATGTTTACTTCCCACGACAAATTTCGTTCGTTTGAAATCTTATCAAGCTTTGACTAGCCTGCCTGTCGTAAACAAGCTAGCTCTGCGTCACAACAAGGCCCCACTGACATTCCCCGCACACGTGGTTACGATATGCATTATCAAATACACAACTGGTCTGCTGTAAGCATTAGTTAATCGCATTTTTTCTACGATTTTTGTGTTAATTGATAATTCTTAATGATAGCCTATGCATGATGAAATGAACTGGTTGACACTAGGTGTTCCAAATTAGTAGAAAGGAAAAATTGTAAGAAAGAGAACAAGCAATATAGGTGGGGCAGCAGGTATTTTTTTCCAATGTCTCGGAAACAAAGAGCCACGAAAACAGGCCCAGGTATGCGAGAGACTGGATACGAATCATTCCATTAGGCAAAGCCAGAACATGTCTGCATATCTCCAGTCTGTTGTGCTGGACGCTAGCTTGGCATGATAACGATTCGGTATAGATAGTATTTCATATGAGCATGTCAACTTGGATCACAGAGACATTTGGTCCGGATTTAGTAGAATGTTACAGCACTAGTGTGGGTGTAATTATAATGAATTCAGTAAAATGCAAATAATAATAATAAAAAAATCTTATTATGTTGATACAAATAATAATTGACTCATAAATCATAATGGCAGTATGGTCCAATATGGGTCCTGGATCCAAACAAACAATATTATTTAAGAATATTGATGACATTACGAACAATGTTTGTAGATATATTTGTCTTTTTACAAAGATACTAGACGTCTGGTATGAAACAATTCCATAGGATAGCTTACAATTATGAGACAGATAATTATGTTTGCTATAAAACAATAATGCTAATGCCAAAACATATCAAGTCGGAGAATTGGTAAACCGATGGGGATTAATGATAATTAAATCTATATTGATATATAATACATGTACGATAAACATTTTTGTAAAATAACAGTTGTACAAAGGCTGTCTTCTGTTACTTTATAATGAAGCAAACACAATTCTGCTTACCCAATACCACTAACCCTTTACGTTCGTCCCCAGCTGAGAAAGAGCTTGTAGCTGAACGTTATTCTGATAGGGTTAACGTGAAAGACTTGTTTACAAATATTGTCAATATACTGTATAAAAGTTATAAATGTGAAACGTTACAAAGGGTTTTCATAGGCACATTCCCTTATTTAATGTATTCTACAAACGTTTCGGAAAATCGTGACACGGATTTTTCATTCTTTTGACCTTTAGTGCTACTGATGAGTTCTATACGGACGAAAATGTTATACGATGCAAAGAATTTTATTCCTCCAACATCTTCTAATAAATTTTCTATACAGGTACATCATTTCTTCGTATTTATAGAGGTTATTTTAAGTCATTGCCGTACCGTTTTTAACACTAATACCTCATGATTATAAAGACCCACCCGCCTTTATCAAAAAATATAAAAAATAGTACCTCAAAGTTTCCGCCTACAACAACAATGCAAAAGACGTCCCACAACTATTGTTTTCGGTAATGATATAAACACATTTAGACCGCTTCACTCAGCTAAGAGACAAATGTGACTGTATTTTAAGTTTCAATGCGGTCGATACAGTGTTTTTGATACTGGGACCAAATAATATATTGGCAACTCTACGTTATTAAAACCAGCAATAAATACAAAAAATCGCAATTGATTTAACAAATAAAAAAAACCTTTTTAGGCAGTACATGATTTTTAAATCAAATAAATATAACATGTAGCAGTTATCTGTTATTATATGGAGCTTCTGCGGCAATCCGTTTGATAAAATGCGATATAATGTATAATCGATTACCTTAGTTTTGTGTTCTCAAGCACATGTTACACGGAAGCGAACATTTCAGGGAAATACCCAAACAAGGAAATACCCTGTTCCGTTATCTTAATGTTGTTCCATTGGCTACGCGTTCATCTATGAAGGTAAATCATTTAAAGTAGGTCTTTGTTTATGGGGCGATGATGAAACAGTTTTTTTCCCCTTTGATGTTTGAATTGACTCGATTGGGATACCGGCAATGCTTCTCACGGCCAGTCCATTGGTTAGATTGCATTGGTTCATTAACAAGCTTACCGATTACCTTATATCGATAAGGATAGTTCAAACCATACAATAAAATGTGTTTTTTTCTAACTGATATTATATAAATGTGGTAAACATTAGCGTACGAATGATTTGGATAATACCTAATGTAAAGATTTTTTTAACGACTTGCATCTTTAAAAAGGTTATTAAAAAAAATAACAGATGTTAAATTATTACAAGCAGTAACGGTCGTTAAAATAAATGGAATGTTTTGATTGACATTACAGTTGTTTTCGTCCACATGACACAATATAGAGAATTGATTAAGTCCGGGTAATACATTCATATAACAGTTTTCCTGTCGTTGAAAATCATATCGATACTTGAAATTGAAATAATACTTAAAACGTGGCAGAACATGATTTTTTATGTCTTCACTGGGTTCATCTTGTATAGAGTTTAAGACAACATTAAAGACGTTATAGCATGTTGTTAATTTTTAATTTACATATCGTGCCATATGCCTCCGATATGCAGCGTTACAATATTGATTTTACATTTCTAATAGGATAGGTGTGGCTTTGAGTTTTGTCTTTGGTCGCATGGAAAAGAAAGTATTTGATATGAAAAAAAGCTATATTAAAAAATCTTTAAAAATGTAATAAATAGAAAATATTTAATTAGTTTCCAGTTTGATACCATTTATATTTCATTCGTAAGGCAGAATATATTAATATTTTTCACTTGTTATTCTTTCTTACGTGTGAAATGTGAATCTCCTCTATTATTCACTGAAATTGGTATTTCTTGTGTTTCAGTATCATTTGCAAAATCGTGTTTTTATCTTTTTACAACCCTGAACGTATACGAATTATTTTGATCATTTTAGTTCAAGTAAGACTAGTTTGAGATTTTTTCTTTGTTCATATTCGGGCCGTTTAGAATTGCAAAATTATGTCAGGCATTTTCTTCAAAAACACTGTAGCTACGACTTTTGACGTATCACAATGCATCTGTCTCCGAGTGACATAGCTTAAACCTGGTCACGTCATCGAGTGATAGAAAAATGTTTCCTATAGCGTGTATGGAAGGTAGCCCGTTTGGCAGGGACAGCTTCACGTGTCAACACACAATTATAAATTAAGACATGTATGCAGATATGATAAAGTATGTGTCAATATGTTTTAAATAACATCGCTCTACGTTAAACAACATGGGGCTAATGAGGCCATAGAGCACATACCTTTGCACGACATGGCATACACTAAACCCAGATATGTGAAGTTTTGTTACTTTGA